TTCCTGCTTATAGTAATAGCTAATGTGCAACTTTGCCAGAAATACCTAAAATAAACTGAACTGTGGAGACTCACAGCATGAAATGACACTCCCCCAGCTCTCTTCATTGCTGTTGTTGTGATTCAGAGAGCCTGCAAGTGCCCGGTGAGAGGTGAAAAGTCTGATGGATTTAGTGCCATTTGAGGGAGAGCAGCATCAAACTTATCGTGTTATGATGGTAGTTCCTGAGCTCATTGGTTTCCATCTGGTCTGGATGTGGCCTCTCTGTTCTGTAGTCCCAGTGCTGATTGCAGCAGGGCAACCTTGCAGGTAGGTGATAACCTCCTTTGATTTAAGGAAAAGGATGCTAACACACCCAAGAGCTTGGGCTTCAAAAGGACAGAGGAGTCAACTGCAAAATGGAGCTTGTGACTGGATTTCTGAGCAGACCTCCCTCTCTCCTGCTGGCTGGGGAGGCCAGGTGGGTGTTCTCTCAGTGGAAATGCTGACATACCTGAGCATCTGTCACTGGATTTCAATCGTTCCATTTCCTTTGCTCCCAGAACAATGAGGAAAGTAAGAGGAAATCTGAACAAATGCTCTGTGTGACAGGGAAAGGAGAGGAAGCCTGAAACAATTCACTGGGCAGCAGTGGAAATGAAACTGCTGCATCCCACTGTGCTCAGGAGAAATTGTTTTAAAATAATAAATTAAAAAAAAAAGAAAAAGAAAGAAACACCCAGTGTAGATGCTAGTTATGACCATGTTTCAAAAAATTACAGCAGTCCGAGTCATGAACTTGCTATATATCATCAATGTTAAAGGTTAAGCCTGGCCAGCACTTAGACATGCACCCTTGTAAAGGTCACTGGGATGTCTCAGGAAATGGAGTTAGGGATGTGACAGGAAGTTGCTACTTGTGATTCTTTGTTAAACTCATTGCACATATAAAATGGTAGGTTCTGTTTTGGTGGGAAGCAGGGTGGACCAATTCTATTCTGGTGAAATTCCAGTTTGGGTAATTCCCTTTTGTCAGTAGATGTATTTGAATAAAAGTTCCCTCCTGTCCTAAATTACTGCTGAGAGTGCAGATGTGTGATGAAATAAGTACCACTTCTAAATGGTGATTCCCATTCTGTGCTTTTCAGCACAGGACACTGCAGATTATGACTGGATTTAGAAGTTTTCACTCCAGGGCTTTCAGACTTGGCTTTTGACCAAGTATATTCCTAGCCCTACTGCATGTTACAAGCTCAGTTTTCCCAAGGCGGGGACAGGGTGGGAGCATCCACAGCAGGTGAATTTTAGTGCAGGTATAATGCAAACTATTTCGTAAGGGATGCATAATAAGACAGGATGGACAGTGTGTATAGCAGGTCACAGTAAACAGTAAATGGTTCTGTCTACCCACTGGGATGTCCAGAGATAGGCTATTGGTGTATCCTGGCTCCCCGACTATACCTGAGCTCATTTGTCAGACACTTTTTATTATGCTTTCGAACACACTATGTGACTTTGTGTTAAAATCATGTTTGCACTTCTGCTTCACCATTGAATCATTCCTCCCTGCAGCAGCTTCAATAAAAGGGGAGTAAAAACAGCATCAGGAGACCAGGCTTCGTAACTGCCAGCCCTGCCTAAACATCAGATCACACATGTACACTTCTCCCTCCGCTGACAAGATGCCAAAGGAAGTGTTCCACCAGCGCATCTACTATTCTAAAGGGTAAATAACTACTAGTAAAAAAGCTGCTTATTGAAGTTGCTTGCACCAAATGCTGCTTGTGACTTTAAAGGAGTCACAATGTTGGAACTAAGCCAATACAAATGCTGGGGTAGGTGCACCCCATCCCAACCCAGATCACTTGCTTCTGGTGCTTTCTCTGTACCAGCTGTGGTACTCATCTGACCCAGCAGTGTGCTTTTTCAGGGAGCGAAGGAGTAATAAATTAATTTTACCCCCAAATATGGTAGATTTCTGGCAGCACAGTTCCCAGAGATACCTTTCCAGGGTATCACATGAGATTCAGTGCTGTCTGCACTGGAGGAGGCAGGATGGCATGCCTGGAGCTGGGTGAGGAGGACAGCCACCTCCTGCCCTGTCTGCTAGCTGCTAGATCAAGTGTAGCTGAGGTGTGAGTGTGCAGACATAGATCCACAGGACCACCTGACTTAAAAGGTATCCAAGAGTAATGGATGGGTTTTGGTGCAAGGTCGCACAGCTCCCCTGTCCTGTGTAGATCTTCCAGACGGGGGATCCCACTCTCTGCCTAAGCCGTCCTTTGTATTCCTAACAAACTAATCCAGGGGAGTGGCTGAGACCTGGCCAGGGGAGTGTTGTACCTTAAGCTCAATTACACTCACACAGCAGCACTGCACAACCACCCAAATCCAAACTTCAGGTGAAGGGTTAGCCTAGGGAGAAGCAGAACAGAAGCAGGATTTTTTGCTTCTGTGTGGCTGAGACTGGAAGCAAAGTATCTGATTTGTCCCCAGCTGCTGAAACAGTGGTTGTGATTGCAGTGCAGGACTGTGCTGAGCAGGATAAACCAGCCCTAGTGAAGCTTAAAGCTATCAAATTCAGATCCTTCTGCCAGCCAGATTTTTCTGTTCAGAGCTGTTGCTGTTCCTGTGTTGTTCCCTGCGTGTGGATATGTGGACAAAGCTGCATTGCCAGTAAACTGGGGAGGAGGTAGGAACAGATTATATTACATAATTTTCTCTGTGATGATGAAACCAGCCATCTCATAAGCATTGTGAAGTTGTAACTGATCTGGTGGAGTTAGCTGGTGATATGCTGGAGCACTAAGAAAAATGTCCTCTGCCTTTCCATATGGTGCAGTTCACACTTATGTGCTCACACATATGCACCTCAGTGTTTGCATGCCAGAAACTGACATCCACAGTGTACGTGGGCTAATGTTCACACCAGGGTATGCACTCACACAGACAAAACCATGTACACTCATACACCAATGCCAGCTTTATGGCATGGAGCTGGGGACCTCACTTTTCATTCTCACCTCCTGAACATGTCCAGATGCTCATATCGATTCCATGACTCCAATGCTGGAGCATGAAATTGAACAGGGTGAGCCAAAGGGCAGGAATGTGGTCACGTGCAGGTGGGCATAGGGACACTGACACAAAAGTGCTTCATATTCGTTTAATCGAACCAACAGTGTAGTTCAGTTTTGGCAAACAGACATGGGCATTACAAGCATCTGAATCACACTCTGTGGGACCAAGGCTTTTGTTTTTCTTATGTGAAAAAACAAATGTTGAAGTCACGAAAGGAAGAGACAAAAAGGACAAGGATTCAAGCTTTGTGAGATGGGAGTGTTGCCCTTCCCTAGAGTTTGCTCAGTGTTACAGAATTACAGTGTGGGTTTTTTTAATCATTTTGATATATGCATCTGCAGAGAAGTTTCACTTATCCACTGAAGCTACTTGTGAAGGTAGATTATCCCTGCATTAACTCCTCTAGCTGTCTCTAGTTACTGGGAGCTCTTCCTTGTACCTCTTCCAGGTGCTGATGTGATCCCCATCATCACAGTACTCGAGCATTTTTCAGTATTTGTCCCAGAAACATCCTTGTGAGGTAGGGAAGTGCTACTATCCCAATTTTTAGACAGATAACTGAGGCACTGAGGGGTCAAAAATCATGAAGGACATATCTAGCAGAACAGTCACTTGAAAGAGGGTTCCAGCCCTTCTTCTGGCGTCATAAGTGTTCTGCCACTGAATCATCCTATTCCTCTCACCCCTCTTGAGAACTAGTACCAATATATATTTTGCTAACATGAAGCCTTCCCTGCGACAAGGGAAGCCTTTCCCTGTTACGAGCATATGTAGCTCTCCATGAGTGCTGCCTCCTCCCTCAGACAAACCACTGTGGGTCTCATAGGCTGCTTGACTGCACGGAGAACAGCACCTCCACCTCTCAGATATGCTTCCATCACAGCTAGGCTCCAGCTCAGACCAGTAGCACCAACCTACATTTCCCTCCCTGCTGCAAGAGGTATAACTGCTTTCTTTCACCAGTGCCCTGAGACAGGCTCTGGTCCCAGGGTCACTGACCTGTCCTTCTCCTGCTTTGGTTTATAAGATCTGTCATGTTTCACCTATTTTATAGTTACCAGCATTCCAGCCATGCTTTTCTTTTCTACAGGGACTTGCCCTCTCTCACAGCCAAAGAACAAGTAGCTTGCTCTCACATGCCACAGACTTGCTTTGCCTCTAAGAACAGTGTCTTTCCTTTGCAGCAAAGGTCACCTTTTTAAAAGAAAAAAATATATACATCTTTAAATACAATACCAAAACCTTAAAATAATCCTATGTAAATAAATAGAACACAAACATCACAGTTCTCAGCCTGCAGAGGTTTCTTCAAAAAGGATAACAATTTCTGGTCCTGCTGTTTCACCTGGGAGTGATGAGCTATCCATACAGTCTGTCATATCTGGAGCTGCTTTCTTCAGCAGCATTTCCAAATGTACCTTGGTAACAGGACAGTACTGAATGAGGAATTGGCAGCTGCTGGCTTTTTGAGGGTACCCCATCTCTCTTACCATTCATAGATTCATAAGTTATTTACAAACCAGCTTCAGTCAGCACTAGGACTGAGGGATTTCATCAGCCTCCTAAATGCTGCTTTTTGCTGCCTTGGGGAGGCAGAGCTGGGCAGATGGCTGGGCCAACATGGGCCTGAGGAACCGCCACTTACCCGTGCCTTCAGGCTCCGGGATCTGCTGCTGTATACACAATAGTCCATCAGAACCTCCAACCTGAATCAGGTGGCTACTGTCAGTTGGTGGTGTGTGTGTGTGGAAGCTTTAGCTTCCTATCAGGAAAGAGTTTGTGTTCAGATGTAGATAAGGCACATGAGAGATGTGTGCACCTGTGTGGACTAGCACCACCAATATTACGATAGCAACAGGTAGCTAGCTATTGGTGCTAATGGTGACAATTAATAATGTAATGTCTCCCAGCCTGGTTTTAATGATAGGGCAAACAGTGTTTCAGCTGGATGGTCTTAGGATCTCAGCAGTCATTTTATCACCCAAGTTGGGTCTCCTAGTGTGTGGGGAAAGCTCTGTCCTGGACTCAAGAAGTTCACAGACTTCATCCATCGCCCTAGTGCAGGTCTCAAGGTTGGCAGCCAGCTTCTGGATTTTGGCCTTCAGCACTGCCTGGCTCACTTTTGTGACCTCCTTTGTGTACTCTGGCACGAGAAAGCTGTGGGAGCCGCAGAAGACCATGAAGCAGACGGAGTTGTACAGTGAGATGGAGGCTCTCTTCTCTGACTGGTGCAGTGTGGGGTCCCCCGGGCTCTGCCCCCGGCGGAGGAACTCCAGGCAGCCGAGGATTTCCCTCATCTGTTTCCGACAAGTCATAGCGATTTCCTGCACCTTCCTCACCTCCCGGGAATTGCAAAGCACTAAGGAGAGATCGGAGGTGATGCTGACAGCCCCCCCGGCTGTGGCCAGACCCAGACCCACAGCTGATGCCAGGAGAGAGGCTCCTAGTGTTGCCGGGCTGAGGGACAGCCCCACGATGGCTGTGACTGCTCCCGCAGCAGTCAGGGTGCTCCCGCTGACATTGGCAATCAGGGACCTTTTGCGGAGCTTGCTGAGTTTACGAGCTGCCTTGTGAAGGTGAGCAATTTGGCCACGCAGCCTCTGCCTCTGATCCAGCAGTGTGATGTGGAAGTTGTGCGTGGGGTCTAGTGTTTGACGAAAGGCAGCGCCGCTCCTCTCCATGGCCTCTGTCCAGAAACAGAAAAGTCTGGGTTGAGATTTATGATAAAAACCTCATGAGACATTCTCAGTGTGGAACATCATTTCAGGGATGGCATCCAGCCAGTTTTTCCTTTGCTTCACCCAGCTACATGGAAGGTTTGCCATCTACACACGCACATACACACTCACACACACACACACACGTGTACACATACGCAGGTGTAAATTTAATTACCATATTCCACTGTTTTTCTTGTTCCCTGAGAAGACTAAAGTATCTTAAAGGCTGGGGTCAGGGGTGCTGTTGTTATTACCTCTGTGAAGACACTTCCAATCCTGGGGACAGAAATTCCTTTGAGATTAAGTGACTCAGTGCCCAGAGCAGTAATGCTGCCAGAACTAATGTGTTGTTCCCATGATTGTATTCCCAGTATACTGCAGTATTCAAGGTCATCTTTCACAAGAAGGGCCAGGCTCCAAGGAGGTGAAAGCCACCCATCCCAGGTTGCTATTTAGGGGTCACTTCCCATTAAAGGAGGATAGAGGGAAGCTGCTGAGGGGAGTCAAGGTCTGGCTTTTCCATCTAGGAGGTGAGAAGCTCATTGATATCTCATATGGGTATTGTGAACATCCTTCCTTTCTTTAAGCCTAAGCAACTGTAGGTCCTGCAGCATTTTTTCCTATTGTGACTTGGCGTCAGGGTCTGGACAAAGATGGGAACCATTGTTCTGTGGTGCTTAGTCCAACCAATGGTGGTGGATCCCCAATGACAGTGGCAAGGAGACCTTGTTTAAAAGGTTCATGAAGGTCACATCAGAAAAGTGAGCCCACTTTCCATGTGCACTCCCTTGGGAATGGGGGAACAGGGGAAATACAGGGGCCTGTGAATAGAAAAGGCTTGAAAACTATTGCAACCTTCCCTGGCAAGATAGCAGAAGAGTGTCTTCTCTTCTAGAGGATGAACCTTCATGCTTTCAGTACTAGGCGATCTCTGCTCTTTGTCACAAGGGTAGAAAAAAATGTTCCAATAAGCATTTGCAGGTTGCAAATGTGCTTTACAAAGGAAGCATCCCTAACTCTACTTACATATAGGGCAACTGAGGCAAGGAAAGCAACAGGAGTGTAGCATCACCAGTTGTCTGATGGGAGCAGAGCTTTTGTGCTCTACAGCATTACACTGTGCATAAGGTTGTGCTGCCTCTGCACCTGGCAAGGTCTAGCTAAGAAGCTGTTTGCAGTTCATAATGCCCTCATAGCTAAAAGATGTCTCTGTAGCAGAAAGATCCTGTCCCAGAGACAATTAAGCAAAACTATTAATTGCTGCAGCCACTTTTTCACTTCTGAGTCTTCTGTACTATGTGAACTGGAGGTGTCTGGCCCCTCACAAGAGCACACTATATAGTTAATATCCTTGGGGCTTTCATTCTGCTGAATCCTTGTGTTTCAGAAGGAGGAAACCTCCTGTTATAAAAAGTTTTTCCATCCTAAAGTGTGTAAGTAATTCTCACTGCAGATTTTTTCCCTTCTACTTGGATGGATGTCCTGATCCATCTCACACAGAATCCTTTAGGACCTTTCCCTATGCCCTTCAGAACAATGACCCCAGGCTTTGTTGGTATCATTTGACCATTTGAGCCACTTGGTACATTGTGCTTTTCTTAGCTGGAGACAGTGTCCTTTTATTTTTTATACTATAGTCAGAGATGAAGCTAAAAGCACAAAGATTAACACTTATGTTAAATGGATATTGGCATTGAAATGAAAAATAAGCATATCATCAATAACTTAAAACCAGATCAATATGATGCTTGTTAAATATATCAATTCCTGTGGCCTCCTCACGATTTGTTCTTTAGATTTTCATGCTGAGAACAGTCTTAGGTAATAACAGCAGCCATCTCACTGCAGTTAATTGAAGAGTCATTCAATATATAACATAAACCACACAGTGATGCATGTCTTTTGAATACATTGATTATATGCCAGCATAAAAGAAAACAAAGCCAAATCATGCTTCTAGATAAAAACCTCCCCAACAATAAGCTATTCATTAGTACAAACCCTGCAAAACTTTCCTAAGATAGTGCTCATAGAGTCTCCAAAAAATACTGGTTCAAACTTACCTTTAGTTTCCAGCCGACCTCCTCAAAGACTAATTTTGATCTGTTTCTGGAGGAGACCAATTTATAGCTCCTGTGGACCAATTGCAGCGATGGGAATGCTTTGCCTCATACTGGGAGTTTGCCATTTCCTGCTCTCCCTTGTGCAGAAGGATGTGACACACTGGAAAGTGACCTGCGGGACAGCGAGCACACATCACGTTCAGGAAACAATCCCTGCGAGTGAACATTGTGTGTTCGCTTTTCCTGAAGTAGAGAGGGAAAAAAAAAGTCAAAAATCTCAGCCTATTCCTGGTGCTGAGCTAGTGCAGTCGTTCCCCCCAGGGAACAGTTCCCTTTCCTTTCCCTGAAATAGCAACTGACTTTACTCTGTGCTGGAGCTGCCAATTGCTTGGTGACTGAAGT